TCGACTCGACTCGAAAAAAGAGAGTCGAGTCGAGTTGATCTTTAAACTCGACTCGACTCGACTCATTCGGAACTCTAATTATATATTTATAATCATAATTTTTTACAATTATTCAAAAGGTAAGTCTATTAACTAATGCTATAATTTTAAATTCAAGAGCTCGTTATTATTCTTACCATATCACACATTCTCAATTTTATCAACTTACTTTCTAGTCTACTCTAAAGTCTGTCTCTCAGACTTTCTCTCAGTCTACTTTTACTACTGATTCGCTATTATTTTCACAATCTATGCGAGAAAAAAAACTTTACATATCTTTTGTAGCTATTGAATCAGCAAGAAAAAATTGCTTACATTCAAAAAATCTAAAATGAAGAGGAAGAAGTGAATGAAGAGAAAGAAGAGAGATATACAGAATCAAGGAAAATCACTGTGAAAGAAAATGTGTCGCTTAAAGTATATCTCAATTATCATAACAATAATATGAATTCTTCAGTTTGTATGTATTTACATAATGGAAATATTAAAATATAGAAATACCTAATGTACGTTATAAACATCTCTGGTGTAGAATTATTTGATAAAGTCTTACAAAATTTGCTTTCACAAGGACATGCTGCTGGATTTAATTTAGATCTCTGAAAACTTCAAGTTATAATATGAGAATATTTTGGCATTTAATTTTATCAATGAGTACTTGGATTAACTGAAAAGATATCAATAGAAAAATAAGCTTTATTGCATTATATATTAATATAAGAATTTGATATACAAAGGGTGATCAAAATTATTTGATCACTATTTAAAATATAAAAACTTTATATGTATTATATATTAAAAATTAAAATTTAAGATAAATATATTTATCTTATCTTTATTTATTAATTTTTACATAAAAAAATTAAATTATTAATAATTAATACTATTTCCATTTACGGCAATAACCACCTTAATTCTCTGAGACATACTTTTAATTAATTTATTGTAATATTCTAGCAGAAGATCCTTCCACGTGTTTTTAACATACTTTTCAAGTTCTTGAATGTTAGATGGTGGTGGGTATGACGATGAACCATTACTTTCATTTTCATCTAAAGGTTCTCGATCGGATTCAGATCAGAACTTTGTGTAAGCTAATCCATTTTCACAATTTCAGCATTTTTACGGGCAGAAACAGCAACTTTTGAACAATGTGATAAAGCATTATCCTCCTGAAAAATTCCATTACCTTGTGGAAAATACTTATTCAAGATAGTAGGTACAATATATTTATTAATAACCTTAGTATGTGTTTGACCAGTAATTGAGCCTTTTAATGGAACAATTGGTTCAAGCTCATGCCAAGAAAAGCACCCCCAAAACATTCTACTAGGACTATGTTTTATAGTAACTGCAATACAGTCTGAGTTTAATTCTTCTTCAGGTTCACGTCATACCTTTCCTTGACGACTTTATTGAAATTGTGTAAAAGTACTTTTATCTGAAAAAAGTACTCTTTTCCATTTTTTTTCTCCCCAATTTTTGTGTGCATAAGCCCATCCGAGACGAGCCTGACAATGCATTTCTGTCATTGTGGGTTTTTTACGAGGTATACAAGATGTAAGCCCAACTTTCTTAAGATTCTGGTATATAGTAACAGCAGAAATAGGCTTTTTGTATGAGCTATCCAAACTGTTGCAAGCTTTTTTGAACAAAGTCGACGATTTTTACCATTTTCTTGAACAAAGACTTTAAGTTCTTGTTGGGCTGGTGAATTAAGAAGTGGTGGATGGCCAGTTTGTTTTTTTGGAGTTAATGTTTTTCATGAAGGCGTTTAAGAATATCATTAATAGTTGTTTTCCCACACCCCAACCGTTTAGCTATTGTGCGACTTGATTGTCCACAATTATGGCCATAAACGATTGCGCCATGAGTTTTTGGGGTAAGTGGCTTCATATTTCCGAAAAATTCCGAGAAAAAATGAAGTGCGAGGGTTTGTTTATTGTAATTTATTTAATTTTGTGTGATACGTTACGCTACTATTATATTGATAAAAAAATTTTTTCTTGGCAAGATATTAATTTTGCCACGTTTTGGAATGCTAACCCGTGAACTTTATTTTTGTTCATTGTTTTCGTGATCGATATATGAATTAGTTTTATGTAAATGGATAGTTATTTCAAAAAAATGGGCAATCCAATAAATTCCCAACGTTAAAGAGTGGTCTTCGGAGCACATTAGAAAATATCTTAAGCATATAAAGAACTCAGGATTTAACGATGATGACATTAAAAAATCTAGAATCAAGATACCCATGGAAAGTCTTTTCTCCGTTTAACTTAGGAGAAGCTTACCAATGTAAATGGTCCGTTCAAAATTAAATTTGGGGCATGTAACGGAAATCATGGAATTAGTAGAAAAAACTCTAAGAAAAACAAGGTTAGTAATTGCGATAACGGAATTCCTCATATTTTTTTCTTATTTTACTTATTTTTAGTAGAATCCTCTCCTGCATCAGTAGAAGTCATAACTGCCTCTGGAATTCGAAAACTTCGTAAGGAAATCAAAACAGAATTAAAAGCCATTAATAAGAAAATGATAAAAAAAAAATATGGGATGAGTTTTACAGAGTTAACCCATATCGAAATAACGAATGTAACGAATATAGGGTTTACGTCAATGCTCCAGATGATTTATTCCCGGAATGGCAAAAATCCTTCTCGTAAGCTAAACAAAGCCAATCATATATCTCGAAGGATATTAGGTTATTTTTTTTCAAAGGCTCTCCATAGGTAACGAAGGGAATGGCATGTTTGATATTTTTTATAAATACCCCGCTTATTTCCTTCGCTTTTTGATCTACATTATAAGGGAATGGAATGAAGGACTTTGTAACGAACTGCACCACAAACGAAGAGAAGTCCTACCTTCCCCGCCTTTTCGCACTCAAAGTCAAATAACCATCACTTTATTTCTGAACTGATTTAAAAGAATTCTTTCAAAAATAATTAGATTTCGCTGGGCACGAACGTAGTTAGTAAGAAAAAAATCTATTGTCCTTTACCTGGTCCCAAAGGGACCCCTTCGGTCGATACACTATACTCGCATAAGCAATTTACTGAAGTGAACAGCGTCTCACAGATAGATATCTAGTTTTCTTTCTTTAGACACAAAATGAAATAAGTGAAAAGGGATGGGCTTATAATGTAGCTTATTCATGTACTGTAACAAAGCTATCAAAGGATTATTTCAATAAATTTTTAATATTTGAATTCTTAAAGGATCATAGTAATTCTATCTTACAATTACAAGCTCAAATTAACGTAAAAAAGATGATAAATAAGGAAATAACAGAATATTTGATTGTAATAATAAAATATAATTATAAAAAGAATATTTTATAATAAAGGGATCGATTATTAAAAAATTAGTAAACTTATATAAAATAAATTTTCTTTTTTTCAATAATCGAACAAAGGAAGCAAAAAAAAGGGAGGGGAAATGAATAACTATATTATTTGTGTTGTAGTGATGATCTTTGTCGTTGGGTCGTTCGGTGTTTGTTCCGTTTAGGACAACGAAAGGAAACAAAAAGAGCTAGTGAAAGGTTATGTTTTCGTTATTTAGAAGAATATTAATAAAAAACAACGTCTTTTTTCGTTTTGCTTTTATGTGACAATGATTAAACATGACGTTATTCAAGGTGATAACGAAAATGACCATTAAACCTTTTTGTTTAATATAATTTTTTTAGATATTTCAAAAGGAAAAGTAAAGATGATGGATAAAACGATTTATTTTATACAATTTTTTGGTCATACAATAAAGGAAGTTTTGTTATTTGTTTCATTTGTTTATTGCTCGCGTCTTCCGTTGTACTGTGAAATGAATGTATTCTTTTAAGAACTCATTAATGATTAGAATCCTAGAAATCATATTCGCTCCAATAATAATTATATTCGCATCTCCTCATACGACAATTTTTTTTAAAAAATGTTACATTTTTTTGTTATGCAAGTTCCTATTCCATTCTTGATTCTATTCCTTATAAGGAATTTTACTCGACCAATATAATAGAAATTCAATATCTTTAATTATTGTTTACTTCTAACCTTTTAAATCAATTGATTTTCGTGTTTTTAATAAAATCTCCATTATAATTTGTAATTTTAACCTGGTACAGATGTAACAAAATATAAAATATTTTGTTTATATTCGCATCTTCACAACAATAATTTTTGTAAGTTAAATATTTATGATTATCTTATTGCACAAAAAATAATTTTTTAAAATGTAATTTCTTTTATTTCAAAAAATGTGATAATGGAATTTTTTGATTGAATCTCATATTTCAACATTAATTTCAACCCATGTTTTTTTTTATTTCCAGCGAAGACATTATATCTTATGATTCACTTTTATCTAAAGAACAATGCGAACAACTTGATAAACGCCCCACATCAATTTTTTTCCGAATATTCGTACTAGATACATACAACTTCTCTGGTGATATTGATAAGATTGTCAGAAATGCATCTACAGTGTACTTAAACTTAATTTGGTTATTGGTGTTATCAAGTTTATTTATTGAACAATTCAAATGAAATTAAAGTTTTCCACGAAATCATTCAATCATACAAATAATTCCGTGTACATGCATTTCATTATGACAATTGTAAAAGTTTGATCATTGGAATATGTAGATCAAACGAAAAAAAATATATATCATATTCAAAAATTTTGTTAAAACCTGATGTTGTGCAGTATCAATTATTCATTTCATGAACTAAAAGATTTTTTTACAATAGAAAAATGAGCGGAAGTAAAGTTTATGTATATTTATGTGCAGCACTTTCTGCTATTGGTAATGGATTTATAATTTCTTTTTTTTTCTCTCATTAAAAGGTTTTAAATATCTTTTTTTTTTTTTTTACAATTTTGATGTAGGGGGGTTACTTTTTGGATATGATATCGGTAAATGAATTCCCTTTTTTTATTTTTTTTTGTATTTTTTTTTTAAAAAAAAAAATGAAAAATATGAATCCGACGATCATAATTTTATTTTAAATAGGCGTCATATCTGGAATTCTCACGATGCCTCATTTTCGCGAAGAATTTCCTGCTGACCCTGTAAAAGAAGGAACAATCGTATCATCGCTTTTAGCAGGATGTTTTTTTGGTATAGTAAATTATAACGCGTGAGGCGCAGTAAACCAACGTATTTTATGAACCTCCGATTATTTCATTTAACAGGCGCACTCATATCAGGATATTTTGCTGATAAAGTCGGTAGAAGATTCTCGATTCTCGGCGGATCTCTTTTTTTTATAGTCGGTTGTGTTTTACAAGCAACTTCTACAACTTTTGTTCAATTGTACTTTGGGAGGATCATTTCTGGTCTTTCAATTGGGTAAGTGATAGTAAGTGATAGTAAGTAATACACGGATTATCTTAATATTGGAAAATTTACGTATGTAAATTATATAAATTACACCTTTTTTTTTTTTTTTTTAGTAATCTTTCTATGATCGTACCTCTGGTATGTAATTTGAATTAATAATGATTGTTCGGCTGCGTATCATTCTGATCGTGCGCGCTTATAAATAACAATATCCTCATAAAAATACAAAAAGTATCAATCCGAAATTAGTCCAAAAGAGATTCGCGGCCGTTTGGTAACTCTTCAACAGTGGTCGATTACTATAGGGTAATTAAGTAGCATATATATACTATAATGTGTGTATATATTTATTTTTATTGCAATTGAATGAATTCTCGATTTTTATTCTATTCTATTTTATCTTTTAAGGATTGCAATTTCGTTTTGGATCGATTATGTTGCTGAAAAAATCGATTCACCTGTACAATGGAGAATTCCACTATGTATTCAGACTGTTCCGGCAATAATTCTTGGTACATAGATTATGATTCTTGCATTATTATTATTTCTTTTTCTTTTTTTCTATTCCTAAGATTATCTTTAAGTACATATTTCATGAAAGTATTTTTTTTTTTTCTTATTATTATTTTCTCATTTGATAGCTGTCGGGACGCTTTTCCTTCCATTTTCACCACGTTGGTTAATGGATCACAATCGTGAGGAAGAAGCAATAGCAGTATTAGCAAAATTACGAGCTGGAGGAGATAAAAATGCGGCAATTGTACAAGAAGAATACTTGGAAATCAAAGATAATGTTTTATTCGAACGAGAGTTTGCGGCAAAAAATTATTTTGAATTGGTTAAAAAAGGTCCCGAGAATATTCGTAGAAGAATGATATTGGGAATTTTTATTCAGATTTTTCAACAATTGACCGGAATTAATGCTATCATGGTAAAATTTCAATACTAAAAGAATATATTTGTTTAAAAAACCAATAATTTTTGTATGAACGCACGCGTATTTACTTTGTGAATTAATAATTTGTAGTACTACGCGCCTCAAATTTTTATTAATGCTGGACTTACATCTAATTCATCCAGTCTTCTCGCTACAGGAATTAATGGTATGGATGTGACATATTACATTATATGTTAATGACTTGAAACGTGTTCTTCAAGTAAATTAATTAATTTATTTGTTTATAGGTCTTGTAAATATGTTATCCACAATTCCTGCAATACTTTGGATTGATCGTTGGGGACGTAGACCAACTCTGTAAGTTAAAAATTGTATTTTAAATAATGGAGGAATAAATTTTTTGGTCCACCTTACTCATTAACATGACCAAATATATTTTCTCAGAATTTCTGGGGGCATATTAATGGGAATATCAATGTTAATTATAGGACTTATATTAGCATTAAACGGAAATAAATATTACGATCCTGTGTTAAAAAAAAATTTCGTAAAATTAGAAAATAAATCTTGTTCTTACGCTGTTATTGTTTTCATATACACTTTCGTGGCTAGCTTTGCCTATTCTTGGGGTCCGGTAAATATATTAAATAATTAAGATAAACTCATTTCATATCGCGAATTTAAGATGACTTTTTGACTACTTAATATTATTGTTATCATTCGTAGACCGGATGGATTTACCCTGCTGAAATTTATCCTTTACGGTAAGATAACGATATATTGCATATAATTATAGGCGCGTTATTTTTAATTGGTATTAACAAAGTTGTAAAATTCATCAGCATTCGAAGTAAAGCAATGTCTGTTACAACAGCTTCTAACTGGTTGATTAATATTATTATTGGACAAATTGTTCCGTCTTTGTTGGATAAGTAAATATTCATTACTTTTTTATATATATTTATACTGTATAGATAGATAGATAGATATATATTTTACTTTATAATGTTTTATTTTTATACAAAATAGGATTACATGGGGGTAAGAATTTCTATTGTTTTTATAATTGCTTCTTTTTAACTCCAATATATCAATCTTATGACGTTTCCCACCTTTTCTTTATAAGAACATTTATAATCTTTGGAGTTTTCGGTATGACCATGGCAATAAGTGTGTTAATCTATTATCCAGAAACAAAAGGCAAATCATTAGAGGAGATGGACGGTCTATTTGGTAAAACGCACTCACGTTCAATAAATCAACATCTACCTCCGTCTTCAATAGGTGACTTGGAACATGGAGAGTCTGAAATAAAGAAAGAAGCAAGTTTATCTACTTCTCCTGCTGAAATTAATGTAGTCGAGTTTCCAGAAAAAGACGGCAATTACCGGTTAATCTCATGAACGTATATATAAGGGTAATTTAATTTATCTTTCGTAATCAGCAATCTTCATTTCAATCATTAATCAATATTTTATTACCAAATAAGACACGACGACAATTACATGTCGAATGATGTAATTTATTTATATTAATTAATATAATTCAGAAAAAATTTACACAGGATAATAAAGCAAACACACTAGACCTTTCTAGACGATTTTTTTTAAATTCACATCTATTATTTACAAAATTATTTTATTGTACATTTTTGATAATGGCAATAATTTCTTTTAATAAAAGAATAAAAATAAATTAAATTTTTTAAAATTATTATTTATTATTTAAAGGTGATATTATAAACGTACGTATGTATAGTAGGAATATAACGAATATTTGGTAGTCAAGAATTACAACCGTATATAATTTCCTTTCTTCGTCCTGTTAATTAAATGTATATCATCAACTATAAAAATAGAAAAATAAAATAAAATAAAATAATAAAAAATAAATTTACCTCCAATTGTTCATCAATCCATAAACTTAGTGTTTTCAAAAATTCGAATTGTAATTCTTCAATTTTAACTTTACGATGATTAGGATCGATATCCACTCCAATTAATTTCTTTTTTAGCCTGTAAGTAGAATCCCCATGTTTTCCACTTAATAAAGATGTGTCAAAGCTAATATAAGTACTACTAGCAATTGAAGGTGTCTCTTCTTGTATTGAAGATTTTAGCCATTCGATCTATAAAAAAAACCCCACCTCTTATTAATTTGCAAATGTTAAGTAAAATAGTGAATGATTACTCAACTTACAATTTGACTGCATCTAGAAAGTTCTCCTACTTTATGCAAAGTGTCTGGAAAAAATCGATTCGGAATTAAAGAAATACATGAATTTCGATGTTGCAAAAATCGCTTACAAGTCGTTTAAATAAAAAAAGGATACCAACAATATGTAATAATAATTTAGTTTCATATATAAATCTAGTGAATATTGAAGACTGCAATACTCCATTCTCAATGACTTTAGTAGTTAATGTATATTTTGCCTGCCAAGTGACGTTACCCCGTATAAATTGATGCAATACCAATGCCGCAATCATTTCTGTTATAACGAAGAAGTAAAAAAAAAAATCTTTTTTTCAAAAAAATTATGGTTTTAAATACTTACCTTTTTTAGATAGACAACATTGAATCATTTTGGGAATTGCATATGAATGCCAGATACTCTCTTCATTAACTTTCATATTCATATAGAAAGAAGAGTGATAAATAAATGCGTCCATGATAATCCTATTATTATATATAGAATAAATTATTTTAACCTAAAAATTAAAAATTCCGAATCACAAATAAAAAATTACCTAAGTGATTTTGAAGCAAAGCCTTGCAAATGATATATGTCAGCTAGGCGAAGTTTATAAATATATTTAGGACAATTGTTTATCCTCGATTCAAGACATTCAAGGCAATGTTGAATTAATGCATATGACAAATCAACCCTAATCGGTTTAATTTTTTCATTCAAAACTTGCAACAGGCGAGATCTTAAATATAAATATTGTTTAATTTGCAACTATTTCATAAACTAATGTGAACAAATATTAAAGAACTTACGATACATATGGCCAATATCTTACTGCACAATCAGCTGGCATCATAATGATTGTTAATGGACCGTACAACATGGGATTAACTTGCTAAAAAAGATTATTTTGTATCAAAATCTATTAATGTCAATAAGCACATAAAACGCGATGTACCTTAAACTCTTGATCCCGTTGCCGTCCACATAAATATCCAGCAAGCATACATCCGATAATTTGGTGAATCCATTTTTGATGTTCAAGTTTGGCGATAACTTCAAAGACAGGTTCCTTTAATGAATGAATAATTAATATCAATATTAATCAAATAACACTAAATAACAATTTTTTACCTTCAAAGTTACTCCTCTTGAAGAAAGAGCTTTAAAAAATTTCATCGAGTTCGCTCTCACATTTTTAATATCATCTGATTTTATGTTTGATATTATATCAAACTGTTTTTGATCCATTGTAACATCAAAACCATTTGAAATATCTATAATTTTCATATACGATAATAAAGTTAGTCATTAATGTTGGCTAAAAAGATTTATTAGTTTCTAGTGACATATTATTACCCTTTGAAAATTCCGTAAATGGCTCCAAGATCCCAACACATGATGACATTATTTTACAAAATCGAAAATGCTCGATTATTTTGTCTTTTTAGACGATTAATTAATTATATTAGATCATGGCAGTTTCATTAAAACAAAAAAAAAAAAAGGAAAAACCGCTCACTCTTGAATTCATCTTTAAGTTTCAGCTTTTGTACTTTCTTTAAAAATTGTTTAAGAAATCGCCAGCGGCAAAAGTCCATTAATCTACAAGATAAATCTTTCTATTCAAAGGAATAAATCAATAAATTTCTCGATTTATCAATTATAAATATGTTTTCAATAAAACATACCAAAATTTGAAATTCCATAATGCCATATTTGTCGAGCGTATCGATGCACAAGTTTTCTATCTCTTCGATCTTTCCGGCATATGAATCTTCTCCTTGTAATTTTTTTATTGAGTCCGTGATCTCCAACCAACGTTCCTGTATTGTTTGACCTAGATTGACTTCATCTGTAGATATATCAACCTGTAATAATATATTGAATTATTATTATGTAAAAAATTTTCATTACTTGTCGGTATTATACTTACATCATCTTGGCGTTCCGGACTCACCAGCTGTAAAAGAATTTAACGCGTTTAATTAAAATCTTTTTCTATTATTTAAATTTTAATAACGAAAATATGATACTAAATATTTACATTTAACTCTTTTAATAAAGAATCGAGGTCATCATCTAAATTTTTAGTAGAAGTATAATCATTTAACTCTAAATTTCCAGACTTATAATTCTTATATTTAAGATTAAATTGTGCGATTTCATCGAAGAACTGTTCAAGTGGATATTGTACAAATTCGAAACCTATAAATTAAATAAAAAAATTCAAAACGAATTCTGACATTGATTGAATATAATTCATCATTATAAATACCTTCAATCTTTTTTATAATTCTCCATACTTTACTATTGTCGATCTTTTTGAAAAAGCTAGAAACAAAGTTTTTCTGACTTTCACTCATCTTTGAACCAGGGAAATTACCATATAATGTCTTGATTAACTTAGCAACCTCTTCAATTATGCTCTCATCAAAATTATAATTTAGATAATGAAAACAATGTTCTGGAACCAAATTAATCATCTCCTCTAAACATAAAAGTTAATTAATTCGTATTTAAATAATATGTAAAAATATATTGCTTTAATAGTTTACCTGAAGATGAATCTGGTGGCAAATCGAAAGCATTACATAAGGAAATCTTGATAGCAGATATCTCTTGATTTTTATTGAACGCATTAGAAACTAAAATGTTTCGAAAATCCTTGGAAATTCTTAATGATATATTCTCCAAAAGAGCTCTAAGAAGCACCAAGAAAACGCCCTCATAGTCTTGTCCATATTGTATAAAGTGATTAATTTGTTCATCTGGGGAAAGTACTGTTATAACTTCCAACTGAGTTCTAATTAACTTTTCAACTCGTGTTTCATTTATATCACTTTGAAAATATAATAGATGTTATTATGAAAATATTTGAACAACTATAATCCATAAAAACCGATAAACCAATAACGCACCAGAATGAATCATATTCTTCAATATATTTGTCATCCGAAAATCTACATTTACATAGATATTCAATAGATTTCCTTTTATCAGATGAAAAATAATATTCCCCTAGTTCATATGCTAATTGACATCGAAATATGTTATTGATCGATATAGAAGTTGGACTAGGAAAATCCGGATTCGTAGCAGAATCCTAATTAATAAAAGCAGAACGTGAGTCATAAATATTTACAAAGTGTATAAACACCCTTGTTTTTTATTATACCTCAAATTCTTTTGATAAAGTTTGATAAAGATTTTCCAATAATTTAACTGATTTTTCACTTTTATTAAATTCATATCCGAAATCAATGTTTTTATATTTTGACCTTATCGTCCATCGGTGGAATAAAATTACAGGATCATTACGTGGATCCCCGCCAATAAGATCTCTAAAGGAAGATGGTTTTTTTTTTGTCATTAAATTTAATCAAATCAAGCAAATAAATAATATGCTTACTGTCCATAATGTATAAAAGCGTGGAATAACGCTGGTTGAGCATTTATCGGGGTACATTCTTCAATTCGATGCAAGCATAAACGCGTTTTACGTAAAACCTTATAAAAAGGAAGTTAATTCAAATAAATGTGTACCGCAAAATTACACAAAATTTAATGACCAATTTATGCACCATGCAAGCTGCTTTAATCAAATGGAATTGTACAGTAGTTAATGAGAACGTTAGAGGATTAATGCTAAGGATTAAAACCTCTCTAAGAAATTCTCCTTCATTAAGTATCATGTTTAGTAGATTTTCTCCTCCATTTTGTGATTGATTTTTTTCAAGCTATTATATAAATAAATAATTTTAATTAATGATGTTAAATAAATATTATTTTAAATATGAACTTACTTTTTCTTCAAGAATTTTTAGATTTTGACACCATTCAATAACTTCTAAACGAGAGGCCATTAAAATAATATTCGATATTGGAAAATCAGGAAATCACGAAAACATGTAATTAAGTCACATGATCAACTGATCAGCACAACGCGAAAATGCTTTTCAAAAGGGAAAAAAAAAATAGCTTGTGTTTGTATTTGTGTTATTGTGTTATGTTGTTATTTGTATATTTGTAAATATAACTGTAAATTGCAAATATAATAATAGTAATAACGATAATATTCGGAAAATTTATATATATTAATTAATTCTATCAAAAATCCAAATATCAGGGGCTCAGTAGCAAAAAAGCCAAGCCACAGAATTTTTATTTCATCTGTAAATCCAAAAACGTCCATCCAAAAAATACAACCAAGTTTTCCAACTCAAAATGACTAGGCTTAGGATCACCAGAAGCAAAAGAACTAAAATGGACCTTGATACAATTACCCAAAGCACACAAGCTGTGGATATTACGAGAGTTCCGAACGTTCAAACAAGAAGAGCTTCGGCTCAAGCCTCCGCTTCTTGTCAGGAAGAATCCTCCCCTTTAGCAACTAAATTAAATTTAATATGGAAAACCATTAAAGAACTCAAGGATAATAAAGGCAGGACTTATTCAGAGCTCTTCATAAATTTACCGGATAAAGAATTATATCCTGATTATTTTGGAGTGATCAAAAACCCAATTGCCCTAAATATCATTAAGCAAAAAATTGTCGATGGAAAATATTTGAAAGAAGAAGATTTTGAAAAAGATCTGGACTTGATGTGTAGTAA